TAAATAGGTGTTGAATACACAGGAAACATTTCAATATATCTACTATACGCAGAATACATTTTAGCAGAAATTCTGGAAACAAAAAACCATTTAAGAGTTCCTCTAGAGAAAAGGATGTATAAACTGTCTTCTAGAGACAAAAGCCCCTCAACAAGTCTTCAATATATTTTCTTATATAAAGATAGATTTGCTTCTGTTTCGCCAATCCCCATTGTATTGGTCACATATTTTGACTTTTCTGAACTAATTTTTGCCAATAATGTCCTAATTTTTTTGTTCAGTGTATGAAACTAAAAAGGAATGAAAGACAATTTTGAAAATATTTTTTATTTTCAAATATTTCTATTTTTATCATTGTGTGTGTGAGAGTTTTGACACACACCGACAGCCCATGGGACCTATTTTGGGCACTGCTGCTATAGATTGAAGACCCTTCAGGGTGGCTTCTATAGATGGGCGAACTTTGAAAAACCTTCATGAAGCATTTCAAAGATAGAAGGGCTCTTTTGGGGCATTTCACACGTGGAAGACCCTTTCATAGATATATTTAGATACTCTTATAAAAAAGTAGACCCTTCAAGATTTCTTATGTACAAAAGAAGATTCTTCCTATTTTTCCATAAAAAAAGGGTCCCTCATGAGCTAACTCTATAAAATATCTTAGTAAATATTTAAATAACTAGCTCTTTATAAGAATTACCAAATGAATGAGGTCCTTTCTAATAGTTTTATAGCCAAAATACTCTTTGTGAGATCTTCTATATTTATGAAATTTTCTATAAATAGTAAACTGTACATGCGATCATCTTTAGAAAGGGGGATCCTATGAGGTTTTTTTTTGTAAATATAACACCCTTCAATAGGTATTCTATACAGAGCAACGCCTTAATAACCATGTCTATAATTTTTCTATAGATAGACTTAACTTCATTCGGTATTCGTTATTCTTCATGCGGCCTTCTTAAGAAGGAAGGCTTTGCATGAGGTCCATTATAACCTTATAATTTGATTGAAGATCCTTTATGAGGTTTCTATAGGTAGAAGATTCTAAATGTGATCATCTATAGATAGAGCATCAACTTGGAGACCTTCAAAGGGCAATTTTCATTGATGACTTATGGGAAGGCGGTCATCAATGAATATTGCTCTCTGTAGGCCTCCAACATGATGACCTATCTATAGAAGATCACATTTGTTACTTCCGAAGTATCAGTATTTTTAATAGAAAAATAACTTGGTTCGATTAAATTTCATTCCACCTATTTTCCTTCAAATAAATCAAAATAATTAAATTTTCACACAAGTTCAACGGATGTCAATAATACAAAATCCGCTTAATATTTATCCATACAGTTCGAACAACAAATATCCGCACACACACACACATAAATGACATTAATTAATTTTTCATTAATATTATTTTCGATTATGAATTAAACAGTACAGCAAATTGATTTTATTAATATTTATCGGACAGTGAAAACATGACCAGAGACAAACGAACGAACAACCAAACAAACAGCTGACAATGACATTTTTATTTGTATGTTGCGTTTTTTTATTAACCCGTACTTTTGTTGTTGTTATTATTATTCTTGTTGCAGGATTATTTAATGGAAATACAAAAGAATCCTGTGAAATCGAAATTTTGCAAATTAAGACTGCTGTGCCGGACATTGGCTGGTAATAATGTCTATTATCTGACTGTAACAACACCGGCGGTATCAGAGGAATTAATGAAGGTAAGTTGTGGGTGGGTGGGAGCGAACTCCATGGGAGTGGCGATTGGGAAATAATAATTAAATTGTTTTTATTGAATTAAATTGTATTGGTTGGAAGTGGGAATGAATATAGAAAGGATGAATGTTTTCTGCGGTTGGTAATCAATTAAAAAATAATTTTTAACAATTAAAGATAAAGGTATTATATTCCGCAAAGAGAACATCATCGAAGACTCCTACAAATATACAATTTTTTAATGTGTATTTACTGGATTAAAAATAAGGAAAAGAGGGATTTCTGTACACAGAACTCATTTAGAGAACTTCCATAGAGAGAAGGCTTTTGTGGATATTTGTGGTATTTTACAATCTGGTAAAAATATGGATAAACTTCGTCTGGTCGAATTTCTCATACATTCCATAATGATGTTGGCCTTCAAAGTACTAAAATCGGTCGGGGACTATATATGGAGACTATTTAAAAAAGAACAGACCTACATTGATAGGTATTTTATTTTCTCTGTTAACTTATAGATTTCTTGCTTAGACCATTAAAACACCATAAATGATGCGGTACCTTGAAATTTTTAAAAATTTCTAGAAATAAGTGTTTACCCTCTAAGGAGCGAAATATCAAAAGATGGTGGTTAAAATGAGGATAATATTTTCAAAACACCGAAAGGCGGCGCTACCATTTTACGAGGGTTATACTGAAATGTGGGCCGATATATCCCAAACATACCTCGTTGAAATTTTCGCAGTATTCTAGAGAGTAAAACATTTCAATAGGTCCTCTAAATACAAAATACTCTGCAACTGGTCTTCTATAAATAGAAAAATCAAAGGCCTTTCAGTGACATAAAATGCTTCAACTGGCCTTATTTTAAGATAGATATATCAAGATGTCGAAAGTAGACAGGAGGCTTTTCATGGAATGTATCTGAAATGTGATATTCCTCCTATCGAGACAAAATCTTTTATGAATTGATGATCTTTCCATATTTGCTATATCGACAGAAGATCTTTAAAGTGGTCTACTATAGAAAAATAACCTTTTACCAAAAGTTCTAAAGACAGAACACATTTCAACATGTTCTCTATAGACAGAAGACATTACAACAGATATTATAGAGACAGAAAACCCTCCAACAGGTTTTCTATAGACAAATAATCTTAAAAATGGCCTCTCAACTGACCTTCGATAGACTGTATATCTTTAAGTACGCCTTCTATAAATAGGTGATCTTTGAAGAGTTGAATCCTATAACGGGAGACCTTTCACTTATAGGAATGTAGATCGAAGACTTTTAAGAAGTGTTCTATGGATAGAATAGATTTCAAGAGGTGTTCTAAAGACAGAAGATCATTCAAGAGGACTTCTAGAGATGGAAGAACTTTAAACTAGACCTAGGAGGTCTTCTACGGATGGGAGATCCTCAAGAAGAATTCTACTCATAAGAGGTCTAACGAACTTCTTGAGATGGAAAATCTTGCAATAGGTTCCCTATAGATCGAAGACTTTTTAAGAGGTGTTCTATGGACAGAATAGATTTCAAGAGGTGTTCTAAAGACAGGAGACCATTTAGGAGGACTTCAAAAATAGAAAAACTTTAAACTAGACCTCCATATATAACAATTCTAGAGTTAGAAGATTTTCAAGAGGAGTTCTCTGAAAATAGGTATCATTATTTTTATGCAGGAGATCTGGAATGGATCGAAGATATTTAATAGGTGTCCTTCATAGAGAAAAGGTCCTTTCAATATGGTTTCCATTGTATTTAATGGATTGAAAACCTTCGAAACGGACCTTCTATAACCTTTAAAGAGGTCCACTACGGGAAGAATACCATTCAACAGAAATTCTAGAGACCTTTCAAGAAGTCCTCTCAAAGGATTTTAAAACTGGTGTTTCGACGGACCTTCGATAGGCTGAAGAGAACTTCAGGAGGTCTTCTACGGATAGGAGATCTTTCAAGAGATATTTTATTAATAAGAGATCTAAAGGACTTCTTGAGATGGAAATCTTTTAATATGTTATCTATAGATCGAAGACCTTTTAAGAGGTGTTCTATGGACAGAAGAAATTTCAAGAGGAGTTCTAAAGACAGGAGACCATTCAAGAGGACTTCTAGAGATAGAAAAACTTTAACTTGACCTCCATATATAAAACTTCTCACGTTAGCAGATTTTCAAGAGGAGTATTAGGTATTATTATTTTTAAGCAGGAGATCTTTTATGGATCGAAGATATTTAATAGGTGTCCTTCATAGAGAAAAGGACCTTTCAAATGGGCTTCCATTTGTAAGGACTCTTAAGGTCTCCTATAAAATGGAGACCTTTAGTTGTATCGCCCTAGGCAGGAGAACTTTTGATATGAGATTTTTCAAGTAGTATTCCATAAACAGAATACCTTTCAAATATACCATGCTATAAGAGGTCTTCTGAAGATAGGAGACTATTCACGAGGCAAGACATCTCTCAATATAAACAGAAGACACTACAATGGATGTTATTCGGATAAAAATCTATTATAGACTTTTCTACCAGTATTCTATGGATATGAGACCCTACAACAGGTCTTATATATAACTTTTAAAAAGGGGAAATCGAAATATTGGGGTTTCGACATTTCAAAGGAGCATTTGCGTTTATCAGATTTTTTCGGCCTTTTTCATTCAATTTACTCCCATTGCTTTAAATTATCTCCCAGATACCTCAGATGAACTCCTGTGTTTTGTTCCACATCATCAGCCTTTGTATACTCTCTACAAATAAACTCATATTAAAAGACCTTGTAATATCTTTGCATGTGGTTAACCGATGCAGGAGCATCATGTTTGCTTTTTTATTATCAAACAACTTCGAATTGTTTTCTGCATCGAATACAACAGAGAATTTACCCCATGTACCGCATAAAGGACTCCACACATATGGTTTAGTTTACTCAGTATGGAATATTTCTGTTGCATGGCACAGAATGTACTAAGAATTTTCCGTACAAAGTCTGTGGCGTATGGGTATAGGCAAAAACTCTATGATGTTACGATTATTTCTTTGGATGTCCAATTAATGTGGCTAGGGGGTTTTTTGTAGTTCTGGTGTGGTAGATAGGAGGATAGTTTCTGAATCCAACAGTAAATTGCTGCATAATTTACAGGCAACTCATTAGAATATTGTCGTTTTATGTTCCTGTTTGGGTAACATAGTTCCATGCTTTTAGTTCATTTTTCTATAGGGAGGAATTGGTAGGATCAGGATGGTTTAATATGTTGCCTTTGCCTCGGCAATAGTTTATGGACGAATACTCCAATTTTTTCATTAAAATGTATGGTTTAATTAGAGTGAAAGAAAAATTACAATACAGGCACATTGTGCTGCTGATGTTGCAGCTCAATAGCCAGGACGGACAACACCAAGGACAAACGTATGGAAATATGGCACAGGCTTGTGGTTGCTGTTCGGGTATATGGAAGAGGGGGAAGGTGTCAGCATCGTCATCTGCTGACATGCTTTTAATTAAACCCAATGAAGTGTTAACATTGGTTAGCACAAGGACAGAATAAATTTGAATGAACAGGAAAAAAGGATATAATCGAGGCCAAGAGAAACGAACAAAGGGAATGGAAAAGAGATAATAATTCAACAGCATTCACCAATGAATTATTTGGTAATATATAGACATATTTGATACCGAGATTTGGGAGGTACCACTATAGTTAAAAGTGGACCAAAATTCATAATATTAGGTAGGAGGATGTGGTACCCAATAGGAAGGCAAAGTAACATATTGCAGCAAATTCGGTTGAAAACGTTCGTATACTCCCCAAAATACCGAAATTTGGGAACTACCGTCAGTAGGGAAAAGTGAATCCATATAGATTACTTAAAGTAGGAGAATATTCTACCCAATTTGAATTTAAAATACAAAATTACAGTCAATTCGGTGGGAAACCTAGCCCATAATCTCTAATATACCGAAATGTTGGATCTACCGTTATATGGGGGCTATTCAAATTATATATGGCAAGCTCTATCTTGATTTCAACAGATAGACCGATGCGCATAAATCAAAGTAGAATTTATTTCTGATCAAGAATATATACTTCATCTTCATGGTGTCTGAGGTGAATACTTCGAGGTGTTGCAAACGGAATGGTATATTTCTTATGGTGGATTTTATAACAAATCGTCGATTTTTTATTGCCCAGGAGATGTTAGACTCAGTCCACGGCAACCCAGATCTTCGCCACAGATGCACGGATAAATGGAAGAATATTTTTGTTCGAAAACCACAGTGGAAACATTACGTGGGAAGAGATGAATACAAAATCCGAAATTTTTTATTTATTAATTTTTTTTAGTAATCCTTGAAGTAATATTTTTAATTTTGTTTTTGCAAAATAGTCAGGCTGAATCCCAGTTTGTTGTTTTTATATAAAAAAAAAACTATTTATTAGTGGGGAATGTATGGCATTGTTTGCCGAGGGGTAAGGCAGGGAAGACTATAGTTTCGGATCACGCCACTGATCCTCATCAGTTCCCATAGTTTTTTGTTGGGGTATTCTCCCCAGAAGCTATTGCTTCTATACAAAAAACCTTTCATACCCAAATGTCTCTTGTAACAAAGCGAAGTACTTAGCTGACCAACGACATAAACTGCATGAGAATTTCGCTGGAGCCTCACTTCGAGGTTAACAAGGCATTTACAAACAATACCACACCTTTCCCACTGTTGTGTGTTGTCACATCGCGACAAATGCACACAACGACTTTGTTGGTGTTGCTAGTGTACAGCAACAAACCAAACAGTTTAACCGTGCCTGCGTCTACAACTTCAGTAGTGTTGGCGGTTTATTTGGGATACCATTTGTATTTTGTTTTTGCAAAATAGTCAGGCTGAATCCCAGTTTGTTGTTTTTATAAAAAAAAACAACTATTTATTAGTGGGGAATGTATGGCATTGTTTGCCGAGGGGTAAGGCAGGGAAGACTATAGTTTCGGATCACGCCACTGATCCTCAT